AACATGTCATCCTGCCCATCCCAGCATTTAGCCCCACAGAGCTTGCTTCACCTGTACCTCTGTGATTACTGGAATGAAACCCCCTTAAAACACAAGCTGGATAAGGGCTTGATGCTGTGGTTTGTTTATTGATCACGAGCACACATGCGTAGCAGAGTCCCTGACACGTGGTAGTAGGCACTTAACATGTTGAATGAATGAATGAGTTCACCCCATCTCTCTGTGTTGTGATGAGAGGGACCTGGCTTGTCCCCAGACATGGCTTTCTGAAGGCATGGACAGTGTCTTCTTTATCTCTGGGCTTCTAAACCCCAGCATATTCCTGGAGCAGAGAGATGCTCATTTAAGTAAATGAAACCACATTACTGCCCTTTGCTTTAGGTCGGAAGTCGCCTGTTAGTCATGAAGGCATGAGCATACTTAAATGCCACAAGCTGATGGACATTGACACCTGTGAGCTATGGAGTAATCTTTTGTGGTGAAAAAAATAAGATAAGGTGGAAGAAATGGGGCTCTTTTAATCGCTGTGCAATAAACCACTCCAAAGAGTAGATAGTGGCATAAAACAACGATTTGTTATTTCTCCCAATAGCTGGGCAGGTTTCTGCTCTGCGTGGTGTAGCCAAGGTTAGCCAAGTGTTAATAGCTGCACTCACCTGGGACCTCGTTGGGGCTGGCATAGCCAGGGTGACTTCTCACCCTTGGGCCCTCTCTTCTCCATGTGCTTTGTCATCCTTCACAGTCTAGTGGCAGCCTGAGCACCTCTACAGCCTCGCAGCTGGCTTCTAAGAAGCAGGAGACGGAGCTCTTCAGACTCTTAAGGCCAGGCTCAGGAGGAGTCCCTGGACATTTCTGCTGTGTTTGGTTGGGCAAAGCAAATCACAAAGCCAGGCCAGATTCAAGGGGAGGGGATATAATGCCACCTCTTGCTCTGAGGAGCAGAATTATGTCTACAGATGTTGGTGGCCATATTGGAGATGCTACCAATATGAGCTGGATAAGGAATGGAGGCAGGAACCCCAAATTGTCCTCAGCAAATGAGCAGCTGTTAAGGGTTAGGCTGTGGTTTGCCTGCCAGAAAGCAATTGGTTTCCTACTCAGGTGATAGCCTGGGATGTTTAACCTCCCCACCCTGTCCTAGGAGGTCAGAGCTGACCAGGATCTTGGAAAATATCAAGTTTTTGGGGTTTTTTCCTCCTTCCCCAGGTGATAAAACAAAGGTATGGAGAGAAGTGACACGAACATAACATAGCACAAATCAGAGGTGGGGCGAAGGCTGCTATTGGCAAGTGGTTAAGAGTGTGACTGTCAGGTTCAAATGTAGGTTTGGCCACTGAAGAGATGGACAGATCCAAAAAATCTTGCTGGACTTCTACCTCCTTGTTTGTTGGATGCGGGTAATAATGCCTACTTTATAGGACAGAATAGATAGTGGCGAATAGCAGGAGTTTCGGAGCCAGACAGCCTGAGTTCAAGTCCTGCTTCTTCCGTTTACTACCCGTGTTACTTGGGATACATACTTAATTGCCCTATGCCTCAGATTCCTCTTCTGTAAAGTGGGAATAATAATAATAATAATAATAATACTTATTGTATAGAGTTGTTGTGAGGATCTAATGAGCTTAAACATATTATAGAAGCATCTAGAACAATCCCTGGGACATGGTTCACAATCAGTGGACATTACCTATAATTACTGGAGTGTTTCTTTGAAAATTAGAATGGGACAATGCTTGCAAAGCCTAGTATGTGCCTTGCCCACAGAGAGTGATAGCTGTTATATTATTGGTGGGAAAGTGAGCCCTGAGATCCATTTTCCCTCTCATATGTGCTCATAGTTGGGGAACTTTGGAGCGAACAATCCTAATTTCTCTCTTTAATTGCTCTTCTGCAAGCAATGAGTGTCTCTAATTTGTTAAGAGTCTGCTATTCACTTGTGCTGTGGGCAGAGAACCTGGGCCTCTCAAACAGAAACAGGCTTTGCTCTCCTCTCCTTGCAGGCGTTCACTTCCTGCCTTAATATGGGAAGAGAGAAACATGATACCAAAAAACTAAAGAAAGGGTGAGAAGAAAGCCCAGGAGAAGAAAATGTCAATTTCCGCCTAGAGAAACTTAGGAAGGCTTCCTGTAGGAGGGAGCATTTTAGCGGAGCCTGGGAATGTACATAACAACAACCATAATCCACTAACTACTCTTGACCACTGGCTATATGCCAGACACTATAAAGGCCTTCTCCTATGTATCGCCTCATTTAATTCTTCCAATAAATCCATAAGGTAGGTGCTGTTATTCCCATTATACAGATGAGGACAGTGAGATACAGTAATGACAAACCAGTAATGGTGGAAGCTGGGATTGAATCCCAGGGGTATCTGGAACTTATCCACCCAGTCAGAGGTGAGACTGGGACAGAGGGAGAAAGAGGTGTGCCTCCTCCAGTGGGAGGACTCCTCTGCAGTGGACTTCCCACAGTAGTTAGTGGATTATGCTTGTTATTCTTATGTACATTCCAAGGTTCCACTAAAATGTTCCCTCCTCCAGGAAGCCTTCCTGAGCTTCTCTAGATGGAAGTTGGCATTTTCTTCCCCTGGGCTTTTTTTTCACTTTTTCTTTAGTTTTTTGATATCACATTTCTGTTCTAATTGAATTAGAATAATCAAGACATGAGTCTTCTTTTTCATGGTAAGCTCAGAGATGAGGTTTTTGTGCTGCAACCAGCCCTTGTGTTCCGCTGGTCCACCCCGGCTCTGGGCATCCATAAAATCATTTGTAACCATCATATATTAATGAAGCACCTCCTATGCACTCAGCTGAGTTCTAGGGGCTAAAGTGAACCCATTCCTTCCTCAGCTTCCACCAAGTTAACAGCCCTTCCACCCACCTCCCACAACCCTGTAGGCTGCCCTTTTGTGATTCCTTTATCCCTTTCAGGCTTCTAGGGCTGTTTCTTTCCATTTGACCCCACTTGTAGTAAACTATTGGGGGTGGCTGGGCAGAGGGCAGGCTGTGCCTCTTTCCAGGGCTAAAGGGGGAGCACAAGCATCTTATAGTTGTGTAGCTCTGGGCCTCTCAGCACTCAGAGCCTCACTTTTTTTCTCTGTAAAGTGCACCTCGCTTCGCTCTTGGTGTCGTTGGGAGTAGACAGGATCATATGTGTCAAAGTGCCCGGCAAACAGGAGGCCCTTCCTGATACGAGTACTATCCTCTGGCTGTGCCTGGGAATAGCTTTGTGACCCTGAGATGAGCTGCAAATGTCACAGGTGTCCTAACAGGAGGTGCCCTGCTGGAAATTTAACTTGGGCTTTTGTTCTCATCTTCAGTGAGGAAGTTGCCGGCTTCCCTGGGAAGGACAGGTGCAGAGCAAGAAGTGCTCTTGAGAGACAGATGTAAAAAGATGTTTCTCTTCCTGGATACTTCAAAGAGAGAAGGTGTACCCTGCAGTGGTCATGGGGCAAGAAAAAGGGGCTTGTGAGGGCAGAAGAAGAGTTAGTCCTGACATAGTGTTCCTCACGCTTCCACGTCCTCTGGGAAACAGCTGAGTAAGAGAAAATGAATTAGAAGAATTCTATTTTAAGAGCTCTGCGGGGTGCCCCTGACTGCGGCTCAGGGGCTTGGTTTTACCATTGTCTGTTTCCAAGAAATGGTGTAGGCATGGGTTTTAACAGTAGCACTAAGTGGACGTAAGAACTCGTGGCAGAGAGAATCTGTGGCCGTTGCAAACGGAACAGACTCCGGTGGCTCTATGCCTGGTGCGTGTGAGGACCCATCTTTGTTTTGACTCAGCCTGTCCCGGGAGTTATGGGACAATTTGTTGGGAAAAGAGGAAACCTCCAGAGGGAGATACTGGAATTGCTGCTTTTCATGGAGATGTGTGCTTAAGGAATTAATTGGGAAAATAAGTGGAATGTGACCATATTTGTGCTCTGAGTTTAGGGAGCAGCTCATACCAGTTGTACTAATTACCCCAGAGGGCATTGTGAAATGCTGAGAGAGATTTGGTCTTAATTAACTTTTGTTTTTAGGATTACAGGATGAATAGTTCTTTTGAGGGCGCCGAAGTGGTGAAGAGAAAGGTATGTTTTGGGATCCAGTCAGAAAGCCGGTTGGTCTCAGCCATAGTGCCTTTCAAAGGGAGTAGTGGGAGAAGATGTAAATATGGGTTATTTCTGGACCACGGAAGGCCTAGAGTGCCTCTCTCAGGAGTAGCTCTTGGCACGTTGGGAGGAGTGAGTCTATGTGGCTGTAACTGTGAGTGGCTTGGGGGCTGAGGAGCTGTGTCTCCTGAGGGTTAACACAGGTTCCAAGATGGTCACCCAGCTCCCTCAGCCCTCAAACTCCTTATCCACAGTCCGTTCTCAAAAAACAGCCAACGCGGCAGCTCCCAGTGGCCAGGATTGCGACACCGAATGTGTTTGTTCCCCGTGTTTGTGAAATACCTCAGAGGCACCGTTCCAGTCCCACCTGACTAGTTTTCTGATTGCCACACCGCCCTGGCTCTATCTGCCAATACTCAACCAGGGCTGACTGGTCAGAGATTTTGAGATGTTTATGGCTTCAGAACTGAAGAGACCTCATTTCTGCATGCCCGAATGAGGAGGTTTTTAGCTTCTTGAAGCTTCTGAATAGCACCTGTTGGACTTGGAGGTGACTCTCTTGTCTCTCGGAGTGAGCAGTGTGACCTTGGACCAGTCACTTGACCTCTCAGAGCTTTCATCCTTTCAGCCACATGACTAGGATAATAATGCCTCCCTTTCAAGATTGCAACCCATAAGCGCACCACCAGATGGAAGGTCAGGTTTCCTGCCCCTAAAAGTCACTGAAAGCTAAGTTGACCTCAAATTTCTGAGTCATTAAAATTCAATCTTGCATTTAATTCTTGCAAATGAATGACTGTGAATCTTTCACTGAGAACAGGAAGAAGAGGCCTAGCTAATATATAACATAATGGGAACACAGAAGACCCTGGAAATTGGCTCGAGAGTATGGTCAGTAGTACTTACTCAGCCCAAAGAAGGGGGCTGCAGCAGGCATGTGACCTCACGCATCATTTCCTTCATTGACCTCCTTCTGCCAAGGGAAAAAAAAACACTGAAGTTGGGGAGGGAAACAGCTAACAATTATTGGGCTCCTATTATGTGCCAAGCACCGAGAAAGAAAGAGAGTAGTTTTGCATATATTTCCTCATTTTTGTCATCTCCTCAACCCTAAGAAGTTGGCAATATTATTTTCAAATAACAATCACTCGTTTCATAAATATTCACTGAGTGATAATTGTGTGCTAAGCATTGTTCTAGGAACTAGAACCTATGAGAAAACTGAAGCACACCGTAGTGGTGTGACTTGCTCAAGGTCACACATCTGGTCCATAGCCAATCAAGATAAGATCCCACTTTTTCTGATGCTTATTTCAGGGTTGTTTTCATTCCGAGATGCTGCACAGAGAGACACACAAATATGCACACACGTACATACACACAAACGCATCCGCACCCACCCACCCACATATACACACACACACTTGCATACACACTCACACACCATGACATGCACACATTCTCATACATGCACTCATCCACACACACAGCCAAATATACCCACTGATGTGTGTGGACACACACACGCCATTCGAGCATACAAACACAGATACCTATATACTTGCATATATATTCACACACACCATTCTATTCGCTGGGAAAAATATTTTCAAACTGCCAGAGTCTCTGAATATTTCAGATCAGTAATATTACAGATACAATCTCAAAGATTTCATTATTTTTGCTTTCCTTTCTCTCTCCCTCCCCCGTCTCCTTCCTTCCTCCCTCTGTCCCTCCCTCTGTCTTTTCTCCTCTTCCACCTTCTCTCTCTCTCTCTCTCCCTCCCTCCCTCCTCTCCTCCGTTTTCTGCTTTCCCTCCCCGTTCTGTGACCAGACCTCTGTCTCTGCTTTTTTCTAGCCATGAAATCTTAGGGACTTACTAGGACTACCTGGCTCAGGTTGGAAGACTCCACCAGAAAGCACCAATAGCTGAATCTATTTGCCAAATTCTGCCTTGATCGGGCTATCCCCCACGGAGCTGCATGAATACCCCAAAGTTCCCTTCCCACCCTATCCTCTGCTTCTCTGCCACCAGGGGTGGCGCGCTCAAGTTCAAGTTAAGACCTTGCAGCTAGCTGGGTGTCCCCAGGCCCAGGACCCACCTCGCCTGTTCTCTCATGCATGTGCCAAGCGCCTGTGAAGGTCTCTTCCAAGTGTTTCATCACGCCTCGGGGTGGGGGTGCTTCTATTTATGTTTCGACACTTTGCTTCCACCTGGCATTTCATTTGCCAGCTAATAGGTGAAGTAACATCCTGATGCTGGCAGCGTTGAAGGAGGGGAGCTGTGCTCTGGTCTGTAAAGCGTCGGTGGGGAGCATCGCAATCCTGACTTCATTTTTTTAGTTGATCACCTGGGAAGTAGGCTGGGGTCCTGGGTTTTAGCTCAGCTCCTCAGTGCAGGAAATGCAAACTCTTCAGAATATTTCATCATCCAGGCAGCTCAAGGTGGGGTGGTAGAATTTAAGAAACTTTGGCAACTCCCATGTCTCAATCCCCGAAAAGAGCCAAGAGAGTCACCTTACCCAACTCACCTATTTTCCTACAGTATCAGGGATCTCTGTCTAGATAAAAAATACCTTTGCCTTTACCATGAAAGGACCTTGAAAGGGTGCGTAGGGGCTCCATGTCCTCACTGAAGCCTTGGGACTCCGGAGTCTAGCATTCAGGCTCTCCAGGACCATTTGGCCATGTTGCCCAATGGGGAGAGTATGCAATTGAGTGCAAGCACTCATAAACAACTCATTAACCATAGCTGTCCCAGGGGAAAGCATATTCTACAGACAGCCCAGGAATGGTGTTAGCAACATGTACTCTGTCTGGGGCAAGCTCCCTGTAACACACACACACACACACACACACACACACACACACACACACACACACACTGGAGAAGATAAAATGGGAAGATGGAAATAGGAGAGCCAGTGGGATGATGCTGTGAAACAGAACACCACACCACCCAGTGAGAAAGGGAACAGAGCGCCCAGGTGCCCCATGGGCATGGGGCCAGGCTTGGGGATTGTTCAATGATAAAGAAATGGAATTCTGAAGGTGGGGTGCTCTTGGGTACTTAGCTGATAGTCTTATATGGTGATTACTTAGGAGCAGGCCTTATGTCGTAACTAGACTGAAAACTCTTAGTGGGCAGGGACCGGGGTTTAAGGAGAACGTCCCTCTCCTGTGCCACCTAATCAGACCCTTTGGGTCCAGACTGTTCAGTCAGTGCAGGAAAGGAAAGGTACTCAGGCTATATTTGTATGATGTGTCATGTTCAAAACCCTTCAGAGTGAGTCAACCCCTTCTCGTGGCTGAGGTCAGTTTCAGGCATGTGACCCCTCACCTCTCTTATCTGGTGCCCATTTTTTGTGTATAGCAGCATCAGGCTTTGATGAGCTGTCCTCTGGCAGAGGGGGCAGATTTACATCTACAGAGCAGACTGCCATCGCAAGCTGCAGTGGGTTTACTGAAACACCGTAGTGTTCAGACAACACTGCCTACGACAGCCATTGAGAAGAGCGTCCCTTTGTGTTACAGGTATCAGGGAGGGCTTCTTGGAGCAAGGGGGCCTTGGGTGGGCTTGGGAGTAAGAAGAGAGGTGATGGGTCCAGGCGGAAAGAACGGCACAAGCCAAGGTACAGCTCAGTGCTTGCACACGCATACATTCGCTCCTTCTTTCTCTTGTTTTCTCATTCAGTCACCACCCCACCCCACCCCCAAATACTTCATGAGCCCTGATTTGTGCCAGGCACTGTCCCAGCCTTGGGGAACAGTGCCATGAGAAAGTCTGGTTTATAAAATTGTGGGGGAACCAGATAATGAACAAATATTACCAATGAGAAAATATCACTAGCTGGAAAAGAACAGCGTGTCATGGGGGTGCTGAGCAGGCAGCGGGCAGGATAAGGGTCAGTGGGCACTGAACCCTAAAGGATAAGGGGTGGTCAGCCTGGAAATGCGACATGGTGGGGATTGGAGGAATGGCAAGAAGTGTTTCAAGTGTGAAGTTCCAGGGACAGAAGGAACCGGGGTGAGAGACAGGGTGGAGGGAGGGGTGAGTGAACAAGGCAGAGGTGGGACGGTGAGAAGTAGGGGGTGGGTGTGGCCAGGAGGAGGTCATGCAGAATGTTCTGGGCCATGGTAAGGATTCTGGACTTCATCTAAAGCAGTCTAAGCAAGAGATGCTATTGAGTTGAATTAGGGTGTGCGTAGCGCAGAGATGTGGCAGCGTGGTGAATGGTTTAGAAGGGGAATGTCCTACTTAGCAGAAGATTTTCTGTAAAGTTGCTTCCAGTGCTGTCCCTTTGTGATGGCACCTGACCCCAGCTGCTTGTGGAGGAGGCCAAGGCTCTCCCCGGCAACCCTCCCTGCCCCCTGAAGCCCTCCACTCATGAATTGCACCTTCTTCCCGTAGTCCCCTTCAAGTGACCCATGCTTTTATCCTGCCCCAGCCCCCAGGTACCCCATCATGGTACCCCAAAGAACCTGCTGCTCCCCTGCCTTCTGCCTAAATTCCCCCACTCTTGTCTTCAATCAAACCCCTTATTTTTATGTTAAGAGCCAGGGACCCTCTGAGCTTGCTTGTCCTCTTACTAGCTGGGCAACCTGTGTGTCTTTGGTAGAGAAAGAGGATAAAAATAGTGCCTCTTAGGGCTGTTGTGAGGTTTCCTAAGTCATTATGAGGAAGACACCCTGGCGGGCTCATGGCTGGGCCTGACAGCTCTGCCTGTTCCAGTCACAGCATACGAGGCCCTTTGCTATGCACCCTTCACACCTCATCAGCCTCATTTCTATCCTTCCTCCCAATACCTCACCTCCCCAGCCATATTGGAGTCCTCCCCATGCCCCAAGAACAACGATGTCTTTCATCTCAACACTCAGTTAGCGTTGTTCCCTCTGCCTGCAACGCCTTTCCTTCCCTAAGGAGGCCGAGTTCGCATCTAGTTTGCTCTGGGGAACCATCCTCAGTTGTAGACCTCATGCTCCTGCCAGCTGACTCGAAGGCAGACTTCATTCTTCCTTCTCTCGCATCTCCCCGGCACTTGGGGGCATTGTTTTATTATATACACATTAGTGTGTATCCTGGAGGTTGCTGGTGTTCAGTCTCCCCTTACAGGTGTGTTTCCAGGGATGTGTTTTATTTACCTGCTGTTCTGAGTCCTTGGTGCCGAGTCCAAAACGTGGCACAGGGCTCAGAGGTAGTTGGGTGAATGAGTGAAGGTGCCCTTATCTGCTTCGAGGGAGGGCTGTGTCTAACTCATCTCTGTCTCCCCGGTGCCTGGCAGCCAGTAGGAGTTCACTAAATTCTTCTTGCCCTTAATTGAAGGATAGATAAGGCAGGTGTAGGTAAGGGTGTGAAGCAAGGTAAGGTAGGGAGGGCCAAGGGGACGAGGAATTTGGACAATGGGATCAGGGACGGAGAGATGGCGACAGACCTCTGTGGGGAGGGCCCGGGGCCAGAGAGCCGGGGTGTCCCAGGAGGCCCAGCCTCTCTTTCCTGGGCTAGACCCTTTGCCAGCAGCGTGGGAGGGAGGAGACCCCACCCAGTCTGAAGGGGAGTTTTAACACGTCGGAATGACTGGAGGAACAGTTCATGGGCTTATCTGTTAATAATAAAAATAAAATTATATTAAAAAGACAACCATGTGTGGGTTGCAGGACAAGTTGATGATTCCTCACGCAGTCAGATGTGTGCCCCTTTAATTGAGGCAGGTAATGACCGTGGTAATAATACCCTGGATCTGTTTATGGTCTCTTTCTTCTGAGGACCTCAAAGGACTTTCTCTTCCTATCTCATCTCTCTCCCCAGCTTCCCAGGGAAGTGGGCCCTATTAGCCCCATTTCTCAGGTGTCTGGGTGCTGTGACTCGCTCTGTGGCTCTGGGGCTCACCTCCAGGTTCCCCCCGGCCTGGGTGGGGCCCACATGCCTCTCCCCTCCTTGAGCCCTGGGCCTGGAGCACCCCCTTTCCTGGACAACCAAGAAGGCCTGGCTCACTCTGGAGGGTGCTCTGAACTGCAGGGCCAGAGGAAGCAGAGGCATGGGGGCTGGTGAGGAAGGGGAAGGCCTGCGGAGAAGGCAGAACACCAGGCTCCCAGCATCCTGAGGGCAAGCACTGCCTCCTGTTTACCTTTCTACCCCCAGCACCAAGCATGGTGCATGGCATGTTGTGTGACACATGGAAATATCCATAGCATCCTTCAAGGCCCAGCTCAAATGTCACCTCTTCCAAGAAGCTTTCCTTGGTGCCTCTCCGTGTCCTCAGCACACGAACACTGGGCTCTTGCAGCCCACAGAGCCTCTGTGTATCTTTCTTTGGCAGCTTTGTGTTAGAATTCACTGGCCATGGGTCAGCCACCCCTGTTCAGGTGGCTTCTCTAGACCAGGCGTGAGTCAGACTCATCCCATATCCTTAGCGTCTGTCCGTACAGGGCTCTCACTCAATAGGGGGCACATAGAGGGGTCCAGACGAGCCTGGGCTTGGAAATCAGCACACACAGATTCCACCCCGGCTCTGCCTCTTACCAGCTGGATGGCTCAGAAAGCCCCCTGACCTCAGAGAGTTTCTCCTTCCTCATCACAAAGTAGAGCTGAGAAAGCCCGTGTTGTTGGGTTGTGGCAAGGTTAACCACAGTGACACTGCCTGGCACCTAGTAGGTCTTGTTCAGTATTCACTTCCTGTGATTAATCTTAGATTTGGTGGTTCCCAGCCCTGATTCCACATCAGAACCGCCCTTCTGAGGAGACATGCCTGGAACCCCCTGGGAAATTCTGTGCCCGTGGGTCTGGGGTGGGGCCACGGCGTCTGCCTTTTAAAACAGCTTCCCTGGTTCTTCTAATGTTGAGGGCCTTAATTATTGTCAAATGAAGCCTATGATTGAATACAAAATAGCACAAAAGTCATTGAGTGCTCTGGTTTCTAGGGTTCGGTTCAGAAGGGGCAGTAAAAGCTCATGGGTAAAAGGATCGATATCGCTTCTTGATGGAACCACAGGTAGCAGATTGCCTGGAGCTGGTGGCAGAGAGGGAAGACTGTGACCACTGGTTGCTCCTACGTTTTTTTCATGGCCAAGGAAGCAGGTGAGGGCAGTGGAAAGGCAGGCTGTGGTCCTTCACTGGATGCTGACCAACTAGGTGACCCCAGCTGGATGGCA